TTTTAACAAACTACTAATTAAATTGCGTACACACATTAACAGAATAGGAATACAGATATATAACAATTACCAGCCATATCCAGTGAAACCAAGAAAACCAGTTAGGTACCCTAGGCATTTGTGAAAACATCAATAATCTGAATCCTATCCATTTTTAATGACTATTTTTATATTTTAATATTACCTCTCTCAGGAAGCTTTTCATGACATTTTAGGTATTTCTATTTAAACATAAATGCCCACCTGTGACAGAGCCACTTTCCTTTTTTTTTTCTTTTCAGTGTTGACTTTGTATATATGCTGTGTTTGCTGTGTAGCCAATAAATTAACAAACATTTATTGAGTTCCTATTCTGTGTCATGATTTTATCTAGGTACTTGAGTCAAAAAGACAGAGCAGAATTCCTTTCCTTAGTGAACTTAACCATCTAGTGGAGGATCAGTCCATTATAATAATAGTAACAGTAAGCAATGATAGAAGCAATTCTGAGATCCTATAGAAGCATAGCCCATTGGAAGGGAATGGATGATAGGGAGAAGGGGGTGTTTGGGAAGAAGAGGCAATTCTAGGCATTTCCAAGGAGAGAGCAGCGTAACAGGTCCATAGCATTGGAGCAGTAGATGCATAAAGGGGAATGGTGAGCAAGTACTCTAAAGGGCCTTGTATTGTTTTTTAATTGAAGAGGTGGTGTTACATTGTTACTGTATCCATTTTAGTGGGGAAGAGGAAAACCTTGGATGACTGATTCCTTGTAGAATGATCCTGGACAATCTTAAAACTTGAAGTCAGCAAAGGCCATAGCTCCATGGAGCTTCCTGAAAAAATTGCTTGGGAGGTAAAATTTTTGTTATGTACAGTGTCTTCATAAGTTCAAGTTATATAAGCAATCCTTGTTTGAAAATAATTTTTTCCTCAGAATTTGAAGGCATACTCTCCTGTCTTAATTTCCAATGTTGAAATTAAGAAGTCTGATGCCATCATTTATTATATCTCACAGTTTTGTGGGTGAGCAATTTGGGCAGGGCTTAGCTTGGGAATTCTGCTCTACATGGTGTTTGTTAACTGGGTCTACATGGTGGCACCCAGCAAGTAACTGGGTTTGTCTGGAGGGTCCAAGTGTGTACCTGCCTGAAACGTTGGTGGGGATGTCTTGGGAGGCTAATCTCAGCTTGATCCCTCTTCCTTTCAGTATAGTCTTGATTCCTCTTTTTTATGGTCTCTATAGCAGAGTAGTTAGACTTCTTACAGGGGGACATGGGGCTCTGAGAGGTCAAGGTAGAAGCTGCCAGTCCTCTTAAATTCTAGACTTGGAATTGGCATCACGTCGTTTTCACTGTACTCTTAGTCAAGGGAGTCACAGGCCAGCTCAAGTGCAAGGGTGGGAAATAGATCTCTCCTGTCAATTGGAGGAGTGTCAGATAATTTGCAGCTGTCTTTCATCTGCCATTCCACTCTTCCGGTGCTTTCCATTGTTTTGAAATGGGTTTTATGTTTTTCTGTTACTCTTATTCCTTGGTTTTGGATGACCTCAGAGATGAAGAGGGAGCAGAAAGGCCTTTTCTTTGCCATCTCTAGAAGTCTGAGTAGTTTTTAAGACATCCGAAGATGATGGGGGTGGTGGTGACAGATAAGGGCAGCTAGTTATCCAAGACTTGATGTTTTCCTAACCTTCTGTAGGACATAGGGCAGAAGCTCTCAGAAAATATTTGTTCTTGAATTCCTTTGTGTCAAATTTTATATATATGTTGTTGAGACAGTAAGAGTTTTAAGATTTTAGTGTATCTACTACATTAAAAGTAAAGCAAGGAAAATAAAAATACAGCTAAAAGAAAGTTCATTAATTGATTAAAAACAATTTCTATACAGGAAAATTTTTTTTCCAGAAACACTGTATTATTTGGTTGTATGAAAATATTTGTCAAGGGTCATAATAAAGAATCCTAAGATATACTTTGTTAGAACTATCAGCTGTCTACCCTGAGCTCTTCCATTTCTTTAACACATTTTGTGCTGTTGCTTCTAGTTAACATATGCACAAGGCCTGCAGCCCCAAAAAGGGGTGGGGTGGAGAAAAGATGAGGCAGAATCAGGCCAGCAAGAGAGGGAAACAGATGGGTTGTGGGAGATGACCCTGCCCCCATGTTGTTTTTGTTCTGGTTGCTACTGATTGGATGCAAATCAGCAGCCAAGAAATTGGAGTTGGTGATCCTGCGATGAATAAGAAAATTTGATCTTGGACTCAGAATTATAAATTTACAACACTAAAACATGATGCAGATTTTTTTGGTTTATTTTCCCTTGAGGTATTTCAGAAAGTATTTTGTTTGAGATATAACTTAAATTTTTTAAGTAATATGATCCATATAATCCAGGATAACTATTACTGCTTTAGATTTTCTTATGCAAGTTTTACATTAAGTAAAAATTTAGGAGTATCCAGTAATTGGTAGAGGAGAGTTCTTTATGCATGACAGCTATACCTCAGCATTTTTGAATCTTGTCTTGATTGTAAGTTTACTAGGAATTTTATCCTGTGGGCTTTTTTAAACTAGTAGAAGGAAAGCAAAACTGAAGGAACAAAATAGCTGCAGACTCACAGACTCCGAGAAGGGACTAGGGGTTACCAAAGGGGGAGGGGTTGGGGAGGGGGCACTCTAACTTGCAATCACAATATAGGTGGGTCACGGGGAAGGCAGTGCAGCATGGAGAAGATAAGCAATGACTCTGTAGCATCTTACTAGGCTGATAGACAGTTGACTGCAATTGATAATATGGGTGAATGTTGAACCCACAATGTTGTTCATGTAAAACCTTTATAAGATTGTATATGAATGATACTGTAATAATAATTAAAGAAAAGCCACTCAGTTGCTTACTTGTAAGGCAACAAGTAGAAATAAAGCGTCCAACTGTTTAAAAGAGTAGAGGGCACTGTTTGCTAGATAAATAAATCTTCCCAATGTATATATTTTATGCTTAATATTTTCTTTTGTCTGTGCTTATGCTTGACTTCTGTTTGGCTTGTTTTCTAAGGTCGAAACTAAGGAAATGTTGCTTTATGTATCACCAGATCTTCACTTTGTTTTATGGGAGTACCTTATTTCTTAAAAAAGAACTGCAGAAATGTTAACAAACACACACAGATGTAGAGAGAATAATAGCATAATGAATCCTAATGTATCCAATGCTCAGCTTCAGTAGTTGTAGGTATTCTGCCACCTGTTTATCTGTCCTCCCCCCTGCTTAGCCCATGATTTTTATGGAAGAATTTTATTAGAGTACAGTTTAATATTCACATTTTAAAAGGGTATATCCTGAAAACTTTTGAAATCTCAGAATTAACAAATACCACCATAGTGTGTAATTTACCCAATAAAAATACATGGTAAAGTATACATATAAAAACTTTAAGTGATCTCCTCAAACCCTTAATGATCCTATAAATATGGAACTTAATCAGTTACTAAGCTATTAAAATAAATACTGAAAGGAGCACTCACTAAAGCAGTTTTTCAAATTGCTTTTTCTTTCATTCCAGGCAGTGGGAGGCACAATCACGGTCCAAGTCGCTACAGAATTTGATCTCCTTTATTTAATATATTTAAAGTGTATGTGTTCTAAGAGACATCACTTTCAAACTCCTTTATTTTCTTTTCATGCCTAGCACTAGACTTGGATTGACTTTCTTTTGGGGGCCATTTTGCAGTTTCTTTTAAAAAAAATCATGTTCTAGAAGTACTGGTTATGTGTGTTAAGTATGTACCAGAATTACACGCTCATGCAATTTAACTTCATTCTTCATTAGAAGAAACATATCATATGATGAATCTTTATTGTCTCTTGGGAGTAGAATACATGAATGTCAAATCTCTGAATCTCAGCAATAATAACAAATATTTAATGCAAAGTAATAAGGGGAAGTTTGCTCTGAATTAGTGAAAAGTAAGTGAAGGAACATTTTAGAGAATAACTTATTCTTCCAAGCTTGATGAATGATATGAGTTAGTTTCATAAATTATTTTTTAAGCAGTGATCTTGCCAGGCCATTTAAAAATTACTGTAGTTAAAAAACATACAGCATTATATTTAGCATCTTAACCATTTTTTAAGTGTATAGCTCAGTAGTGTTAAATGTGTTCACATTGTTGTACAACAAAACTACATAACTATCTTTCAAAACAGAAACTCTCTACCCAATAAACTGTATTGCTAGGCCATTTTTAATGAAAAATAACTCATTTGAAATGAGAAATACTCATTTACATGTTGACATTAAATATATTAGTCTCTTTAGGAATCATTTAAAAATTATACATTATGACACAGTATTTCAGTTTTTCTCTTTATCTGGTAAGCACTATAAAATTGCTGGCACTCTTTATTAACCAACACCTGCAAAGTAGCATAAAATTTTACTTAATCTCAGACTGTTAGAGTATCACAGATACCAGTTAAGTTTGAAATAATGGAGTTTTGCTGTTTGCTTAATAACTTTTATATAAAACTGTAATTCTAACACAACAGTGTAACTGGAGTATTTAAGTGGAATGAGGTTTGCTGATTCCTGTACTTGATTTAACATTATTCTTAGTATTTCTGTATCTTTCATGCAGTGGTCCTTAATAGCATTTAGCTTTTCCTCAAGGTCTGCCTGTGTTGGTCCCCAGATTATCTTTAGATATCTTTCATTTGCTTCTGTCTTTGTTTAAATAACAAGTATTTACTGAATGCCTGTTAATATGTAAATACTATTTGCAGGGTCTGTCTACTGCATACACAGTTGTTACCATCTCAGTTAAATTTCTCACTTTTCTACTGAGATATGAACTCATAGTCCATAATGACTTAACAATCCCCTCCCCTCCAGTTTTACTGAGATATAACTGACATGTAGCACTGTATTAAGTTTAAGGTGTACAGCAAAATGAGTACCACAATAAGTTTAGTTAATGTTCATCTCTCATATAGGTACACAAAAAAAAGAGAAAACAAATGTTTTTTACCTTGTGATGAGAACTCTTAGGATTTACTTTCTTAACAACTTTCAAGTATGCTGTAGAGCAGTGTTACCTATAGTTATCCTGTTGTACATTACATCCCTATACTTAACTTTTAACTAGAAGTTTATGCCTTTTGATCCCCTTCGTCTAGTTTTCCCACCTCTCACCCTCTGCCTCTGATAACCACAAATCTGATCTCATTTTCTATGAGTTCGGGTTTTTTGTTGTTTTGTTTTGCTGTAGATTCCACATGTGAGAACATACAGTATTTGTCTTTCTCCTGAGTACTATGGCTAAATACTAGTGTAGGTTAAAATATTTGGGCTAATATCCATCATCAGACATCTTTATATTTCTTTATGGAATCTAATGGCTGAGAATTGTTTGCTCAAAAAAATTTTCTCCCCCAGATTATGTTGGTGCAGTACGATACTTTAATACCTGTGGATGCTCACTAAATATTATTTCTCAAGATACTTTCCCCTAGTAGTTGGGAGGTGACATAGTTCTTTCTTCGTGGCCACTATTTGTTTTTATCCCAATATATATGTGTGTGTGGGTGTGTTTGTGTACTGCTTTTATTTCAGTTGTATATTGTCCTCCTGAGTGATGTAGTTGACAGAATCAGACTGAAATCACGTATACATTATGAGCATAGTAAATAGTAATCTAATAATCATGCTAGCTTACTTTACAAAAAATGTTTAAGAATAATGGTAGCTTACCAGTATATAATTTATATTATTAATATTGAGCATATACTCAGCATAATAGTCTTCACAGTGACGTCTGAACTTTTTTCCTTCCATTTCCAGTTTGCCATCACGAAAGCCAAGGTGGATTTTTCCGGTGTAGTGTGCCTGCCCCCTTCCGTCATCGCGGTGAATGGGCTGGACGGAGGAGGGGCTGGCGAAAATGACGATGAACCGGCTCTGGTGTCCTTGTCTGCGGCCCCCAGCCCCCAGAGTGAAGCTGTTGCCAATGAGCTGCAGGAGCTCTCCTTGCAGCCCGAGCTGACCCTAGGCCTCAACGCTGGCAGGAGTCCCAACTTGCCTCCCCTTAGTGAGCGGAAGAATGGTGAGTGCACACAGGATCACTTCATTGCCTGATTGGAATTCAGGTCTTCATATTTATGTTATAGATCCTAACTTTATTTCCTGTCCTCTTGACGTTTCTTATTGTTTTACTATTTCTTGTAAAATAGAGAAAAGTAAGTTTAGGTGGTTATTGTAAACCCAACATTTCCTGCCTGGGTTATCATAATAACTGCTTTCTGATTTGTCTTCCTTCTTCTCTGCTTCTCCTTCCTCATCCCCTCCATAAATTCATTAATTCAGCAAATGTTTATCGAGCAATCACTGTATTTATAGATTGTGCTAAGATTAGGGATTAAAGGGTAAACAAGCCTCTGTTATTAGGAAACTTACCCTATTTTATTTACACCTTGCCAGAGTAATCTTCTAGAACTTAACTAGCTTAAGACTTTTCAGTGACTGCACTCTGGGATAAAGACAAAAACAAAATAAAATTTTGGGCATGCTTTACAAGACTTTGCAGGATATGGTCTCTTTCTGTTTCTTTAGTTGCTTCTCTCATTGTTCTCCCATTCTTAGTTTTGCTCCAGCCTACTAACTATTTTGAGTACTATTTACAAGCCGTACACTCACTCTTCAAACTTTTGCTAATTAAAAAAAAATATAATCTGTTATGAAAATTATAATTTGTTTTGAAATATGTTAATATTTCAAAAGTGGTATAAATAGTAATATACCAAATACATAGGTACTCACATACCACCCACCTCATGTACACTCCATGGGTTCTCACCCATCCCCAGAGGTAACTACTATCCTAGATTTGGTATTTCATTACCAAGTAGTTCTATATTTACAAAAAACAAAACATGAACATATTCCTAAGAAATACAGTTTCTCACTTGTTAAAGCTACAGATACATATATGTAATATATATTAATTGGAGAGAGAGAACTATATTGTGTGTATTCTGCAATTTGTATTGATTGTTTAATATTTATTTTCCCTGTGAATTATGTAAGATATTCTATAATTCATATAATCTAATTTATGAATCACCATTTATGGAATAGTCTTACTTTTCCCTACTTATCTCTAATACCTGCCTTATTTTGTGCAGGAGTTAGTTTTTAGGCTCTCTGTTCTGTTTCACTGGTCTCTCTATTCATCTCTGTCATACTATATTAGCTAAGTCACTGTTGCTTAACACTTAGGCTTGTTCTCTGTTAGGACTAGTCTCTCCTTGTCTTTTTCTTCTTCAAAATTGTTTGAGCTATTCTTGCTCTTTAAATTTTCCATAATTTTAAAATTACTTTGTGAAGTTCTACAAAAAAAAAAACAAAAAAAAACTTTTGGGATTTCTTTCTCTAAGAACATTTTATTATGAAAAATTTCAAATGTCTGATAAAGTAGAAAGGGTTTTACAGTGAACACATTTATGTCCATTTCTTATATTCTATCATTAACATTTTATAATACTTGCTTTTATAACATCTGTCCAACCTTCTGTCTGTCCATCAATCCGTCTTATTTTTTGGATGCCAATACACGTCCATTTTACTGAAGTATAGCATTAATACAGAGTAACACATAAATTGTAAATGTTCTGGTTGTTGAGTTATCACAGAGTGAATACACTTGTGTGTAATTACTACTTAGTGAAGAATTAAAACATTACTAGCATCTTACAACCATCCATCTGCTTCGTTCCAATCGTATTCCCTCTCTTTGTCCAGAGAACCATCCCAACTTCTAACACCATAGATGAGTTTTGCTTGTTTTTAAACTTCATATGAATGGAGTCATTCTGTGTGTATTGTGTTGGTGGTTCTTTTATATTTTTGAAATTCATCTGTGTTGACCTGTATGTGGCTGTTGTTTATTTTCATTGCTATGTAATCAATTTTATGAATATACTGCAATTTGTCCATTTTATTTTTGATATTTATTTGGGTTGCTTCAGTTTGGGGCTCTTATGAAACATACTGCTATGAAATTCTTGTATATGGCTTTTGGTGTACTTGTTGGGATTTTGATTTGAAATGTATCATTTATAGTTAATTGGGAGAATATACATTTTTTTTTCAATTTTTATATCATTAATGTACAATTACTTGAACAACATTATGGTTACTAGACTCCCCCCTTTATCAAGTCCCCCCCACATACCCCATTACAGTCACTGTCCATCAACATAGTAAGATGCTATAGAATCACTACTTGACTTCTCTGTATATACTGCCTTTCCCGTGTCTACCCCTGACATTATGTGTGCTAATCATAATGCCCCATTTTCCCCCTCATCCCTCCCTCCCTGCCCACTCATCCTCCCCAGTCCTTTTCCCCTGGTAACTGTTAGTCCATTCTTGGGTTCTGTGAGTCTGCTGCTGTTTTGTTCAGTTTTTTCTTTGTTCTTCTACTCCACATATGAGTGAAATCATTTGATACTTGTGTTTCTCTGCCTGGCTTATTTCACTGAGCATAATACCCTCTAGCTGCATCTGTGCTATTGCAAATGGTAGGATTTGTTTTCTTCTTATGGCTGAATAATGTTCCATTGTGTGTATGTACCACATCTTCTTTATCCATTCATCTACTGATGGACACTTAGGTTGCTTCCATTTCTTGGCTATTGTAAATAGTGCTGCATTAAACATAGGGGTGCATATGGCTTTTTCAAACTGGGCTGCTGCATTCTTAGGGTAAATTCCTAGGAGTGGAATTCCTGGGTCAAATGGTATTTCTATTTTGAGTTTTTTGAAGGACCTCCAGTTTGCTTTACACAATGGTTGAACTAGTTTACATTCCCACCAGCAGTGTAGGAGGGTTCCCCTTTCTCCACATCCTCGCCAGCATTTGTTGTTGTCTGTCTTTTGGATGTTGGCCATCCTTACTGGTGTGAGGTGATATCTCATTGTGGTTTTAATTTGCATTTCCCTGATGATTAGTGATGTTTTCATGTGTCTGTTGACCATCTAAATTTCTTCTCTGGAGAAGTGTCAGCTCCTCTGCCCATTTTTTAATTGACTTAATTGCTTTTTGTTTGTTGAGGTGTGTGAGCTCTTTATATAATTTGAATGTCAACCCCGTATCAGATATGTCATTTCTGAATATATTCTCCCATACTGTAGGATGTCTTTTTGTTCTACTGATGGTATGCTTTGCTGGACAGAAGCTTTTAAGGTTGATATAGTCCCACTTGTTCATTTTTGCTTTTGTTTCCCTTGCCTGGGGAGATATGTTCATAAAGAAGTTGCTCATGTTTATGTCCAAGAGATTTTTGCCTATATTTTTTTCTAATACTTTTATGGTTTCATGACTTACATTCAGGTCTTTGATCCATTTTGAGTTTACTTTTGTGTATGGAGTTAGACAATAATCCAGTTTCATTCTCTTACATGTAGCTGTCCAGTTTTGCCAATACCAGCTGTTGAAGAGGCTGTCATTTCCCCGTTGTATATCCATGGTTCCTTTATCATATATTAATTGACCATATATGCTTGAGTTTATATCTTGACTCTCTATTCAGTTCCACTGGTCTGTGGGTCTGTTCTTGTGTCAGTACCAAATTGTCTTGATTACTGTGGCTTTGTAGTAGAGCTTGAAGTTGGGAAGCGAGATCCCCCCTGCTTTATTCTTCCTTCTCAGGATTGCTTTGGCTCTTCCAGGTCTTTTGTGGTTCCATATGAATTTTAGGACTATTTGTTCCAGTTTGTTGAAGAATGCTGTTGGTATTTTGATAGGGAATGCATTGAATCTGTAGATTGCTTTAGGCAGGATGGCCATTTTGACAATATTAATTCTTCCTAGCCAAGAGCATGGGATGTATTTCCATTTATTAGTGTCCCCTTTAGTTTCTCTTAAGAGTGTTCTATAGTTTTCATGGTATAGGTCTTTCACTTCCTTGGTTAGGTTTATTCCTAAGTATTTTATTCTTTTTGATGCAATTGTGAATGAAATTGTTTTCCTGATTTCTCTTTTTGCTAGTTCATTGTTAGTGTATAGGAATGTAACAGATTTCTGTGTATTAATTTTGTATCCTGCAACTTTGCTGAATTCAGGTATTAGATCTAGTAGTTTTGGGGTGGATTCTTTAGAGTTTTTTATATACAATATCATGTCATCTGCAAACAGGGACAGTTTGACTTCTTCCTTGCCTATCTGGATGCTTTTTATTTCTTTGTGTTGTTTGATTGCCATGGCTAGGACCTCCAGAACTATGTTGAATAAAAGTTGGGAGAGTGGTCATCCTTGTTAAAGGAATAGCTTTCAGCTTCTCGCTGTTAAGTATGATGTTGGCTGTGGGTTTGTCATATATGGCCTTTATTGTTTTGAGGTACTTGCCCTCTATACCCATTTTGTTGAGAGTTGTTATCATGAATAAATGTAGAATTTTGTTAAGTCCTTTCTCAGCATCTATGGAGATGATCATGTGGTTTTTGTCCTTTTTGTTGATGTAGTGGATGATGTTGATGGATTTTCGAATGTTGTACCATCCTTGCATCCCTGGGATAAATCTGATTTGATCATGATAGATGATCTTTTTGATGTATTTTTGAATTCAGTTTGCTAATATTTTGTTGAGTATTTTTGCGTCTATGTTCATAAGGGATATTGGTCTTTAATTTTCTTTTTTTGTGGTGTCTTTGCCTGGTTTTGGTATTAGAGTGATGTTGGCCTCGTAGAATGAGTTTGGGAGTATTCCCTCCTCTTCTGCTTTTTGGAAAACTTTAAGGAGGATGGGTATTAGGTCTTCACTAAGTGTTTGATAAAATTCAGCAGTGGAACCATCTAGTCCAGGAGTTTTGTTCTTAGGTAGTTTTTTGATTATCAATTCAATTTCTTTGCTGGTAATTGGTCTATTCAGATTTTCTGTTTCTTTCTGGGTCAGCCTTGGAAGGTTGTATTTTTCTAGAAAGTTGTCCACTTCTTTGTTATCCAGTTTGTTTCCATATAATTTTTAATAGTATTCTCTAATAATTCTTTGTATTTCTGTGGTGTCCATCATGATTTTTCCTTTCTCATTTCTGATTCTGTTTATG